GAATCAACAAAGAATCAACTAAGAGAATGGGAGAAATCTACACGATCAATACAGGACTAATATCCAGGATTTACAAAGAGCTTCATAAACTCAATGACTGCAACACAAACAATTCTGTGAAGAAATGGCAAAGGAAATGAACATTTTTCAAAAGAATAAATTCAAATGGCTAATAGACATACGAAAAAAAAAATGTTCTGGCTCCCTAGCTGTCAGGGAAATACAAATGAAAAGCACATTTGTATATATGTTGTTATATATAACTCCTAAGAGATTGGCCTACATTCAGAACTCCACTAACAACACCCACTGGTGTGGGAGGGGGGAGAAAGGTACCCTCCTTCACTCCAGTATGGTGAGTGCTAAGCGAACTAACAATTGATCTGCCATATGACTCAGCTATCCCAGTTTTGGGAATATGTCCAAAGAAAATGAAATCTGCATTTTAGAAAGGGGTCTGTAATCCTATATTTACAGCAGTACAATCGACAACAGCAAGGACATGGAAACAACCCAGGTGCCTGTCAAAAGAAGAGTGGATAAAGAGACTGTGATACATCTACTCCACAGAATACTACCCAACCATTAAAAAGAATGAAGTCCTACCATTTGCAATCAATGATCCCTACTAGAAACCATTATGCTAGTGCAATCAGTCAAAGCCAAAAGGACAAGGATTGTATGTTCTGTCTGATACAAGGCAACTTTCATGCAAAACATAAGATCACGAGCCTTTTCAATTCTGTTTTTGTTACATCTCATGGGCCTGGTACGGTGGCCTAGTAGCTAAAGTTCTCACCTTGCACATGCGCCGAGATCCCATATGGGTGCCAGTTCTAATCCCAGCAACCCCACTTTCCATGCAGCTCCCTGCTCGTGACCTAGGGAAGCAGCCGAGGACAGCCCAAAGCCTTGGCACCCTGCACACCGGCGTCGGAGACCCAGAAGAAGCTCCAGGTTCCTGGCTTCAGCTTGGTTTAACTCCAGCCATTGCAGCCACCTGGGGAGTGAATCAGCAGATGGAAAGTCTTCCTCCTTGTCTCTCTTCCTCTATCTGACCTTCCAATAAAAATTAAATAAATCTTTAAAAATATATATAAGAAAAAAAGCACAAAGAAAATACCAAAGCCCCTTGTCCCTCAGGAAAAAAATATTGTGCTGTTACAACTGATTAATCAGCATAACTCATTCCATGAACACTTTTGAAGGGCTCAGCACACACTGAAAACCATCAAGTTTTGTGGCAAACACACAGAAAACACCTCCACACCTTATGAAATATATTTAACAGAAAATAAAGAGCCATGGGTATAATGCCAGGTCTCATAGAATGAAGCATCATATCAATTAAGAGGAAAAGGCGGACCTAGTGCTGTAGCCTAGCTGCTAAAGTCCTCACCTTGTATGTGACGGGATCTCACATAGGCATCAGTTCCTATCCCAGATGCCTATCAGCTCCCTGCCTGTGGCCTGGGAAAGCATTGGAGAATGTCCCAAAGTCTTGGGACCCTGCACCCGCGCAGGAGACCTGGAAGAAGCTTCTGGCTCCTGGTCAGCTCAGTTCCGGCCATTGTGGCCGCTTGGGGAGTGAACCAGCAGATAGAAGATCTGTGTTTCCTCTCTGTACATCTGCTTTTTCTAATAAAAATAAATCTTTTTTTTTAAGATTTTATTGGAAAGGCAGATGTACAGAGAGGAGGAGAGATAGAGAGGAAGATCTTCGTCCGATGATTCACTCCCCAAGTGGCCTCAATGGCTGGTGCTACGCCAATCTGAAGCCTGGAGTCAGGAACTTCTCAGGTCTCCCACGCAGGTGCAGGGTCCCAAGGCTTTGGGCTGTCCTTGACTGCTTTCCCAGGCCACAAGCAAGAAGCTGGATGGGAAGTGGAGCTGCTGGGATTAGAACCAGCACCCATATAGGATCTCGGCGCATACAAGGTGAGGACCTTAACCATTATGCTATTGCACCGGGCCCATAAACATAAATCTTAAAAAAAAAAAAGAGGAAGAGGAGTCATGGGGTGACAAAATACCAGATGTACAGATATGTATAGAGAACAACGAATTGTTACATGTATTTATACTAACAACACAGAAGAATTTCATTGGTTTGTTAAAAGACTTTCTACAAGCCACTACGAGAACATCATACTCCCGTGCCCCAGGAAGAAAATGGGTTGCACTATGCTGTAGTAGAGCAGCTTCTTCCATGATTAGTTTATTCCCCAGATAGCCACAAGCCAGGACCTTCACCTGGGTCTCCCATGTGCGTAGCAGAGGCTCAAACACATGAGCCATCTTTTGCTTTCTGCAAGATATTATCAGCCATAAAGTGGCTTATTCATATGCCACAGCAGCAGTCCAGGACTATAATTAATATCAATATTCAAGAATCAAGGTGTTGGCACTTTGGCAAAGTGAGTAAAGCCACCCCAGGTGGTGGAAGCATCCCATATGGATGCCGGCTGCTCCACTTCAAATATAGCTCCATGCTAATGCGCCTGGGAAAAGGAGACAGCTCAAGAACTTGGGCCCCTAAACTCATGTAGGAGACCAGGAAGAAGCACCTGGCTCTTGGCTTTGGATCAGCCCAGCTCTGGTTTTCTGGCCAGCTGGGAAGTGGCCCAGCAGATGGAAGATCTCTATTTTTCTCTCAGAACCCTGCCTTTAAAATAAATACATCCTAAAAAAAATATTCACAGAACAAAAATAATTCAAACAGGTCTTAAATGTACAGAAGGCTTACTCTTGTCCATAAGGGATGCCATTTGTTAACTGCTGCGGCTAACTACAGATGATCAAGAACCAGAGAGATGGACAGGGGAGGAGCACCAGAGATTCCCATTCTGCTGAGTGGAAACTAGAATTATCTCTAAGAAGACAAAAAGCAATTCCACATTCAGAAATATGTCTTAACAAGATATTTCATACCTTTATTTAAAGGAAAAAAGATCACAGTCAAAACACTAGTTAAATAAATTATGGAATACTGACGCAGTTCAATATTGTGAAGCTGTTAAGGAAGCTACTTTCATATAAGAATATAGCTAACTTCTTTTCAAAATTTGAAAGATGGAGAGACAAAGACATCTCCCATCCAATGGTTCACTGGGCCAGGCTGAAGTAACAGACTGTCCCAGGCCAAGTACTTGGCTTCATCACTTCTTAGCTCTGTCTTCTGGCAAGAATAAGTGCTTACTCTGTCTCATTTTTCCCATCTGTAAAATGGTGCTTTTATTATAACAGTAACAACCTCACAGTTAGTGACACCCAAGTGAGCGAAACTTTGAAAGCAATTATCACAGTGATTACAAAGAACTAGCCTTTAAATTTATGGCAGGCCTAATATAACTTTAGTTCTAATAAAGATAAAAATTCGCACTTGAGAGGTATTGCAAAGGAAAAGCGAGCTATGAGACGTACAATAGGGATTTAGAAGTTATCTCCACAAAGGTAACTCAACTGATACATTCTTCAAGAAAAATATTTAGATAGAAGTCAAAGAGTAGAGAACTAAGCCTAAAAAGTAAAAGGGAAAAAAAACCTCTCAAAGTAAAAAAAGATAAGAAGTGTGAGTGGCAAAGAAAGATCAAATTTCCAGCACAGTAATTCTACCATATACTAGTAAAATTCCAATTTGAAAGCTCGCAATATCTGAGGAATCATTCCCACCTTACTAGCGAATTAAAGTTCTGAATATATTACTACCTACACCACGTTTATTAATTGTAAAAGAGGAAACAAAACCATTGTTCTTCACATACACGCTCATTTACCTCTAGCAACTCTCTTGCAAATCAAAATAAGTTCATCTTTAATTCATTCAATACAGTATTGTATCTCCCTCATCACTTTTTTGTAAAGATTAAAAACCAAATGACAGGGCCCAGCACGATGACGCAGTGGTTAAAGGTCCTTGCCTTGCACGCCCGGGTCCCATATGGGCGCCGGTTCTAATCCCAGCAGCCCCACTTCCCTTCCAGCTCCCTGCCTGTGGCCTGGGAAAGCAGTCGAGGACGGCCCAAAGCTTTGGGAACCTGCACCCGCGTGGGAGACCCAGAAGAGGCTCCTGGTTTCGGATCGGCATAGCATCGGCTGTTGCGCTCACTTGGGGAGTGAATAATTGGACGGAAGATCTTCCTCTCTGTCTCTCCTCTGTATATCCGCCTTTCCAATAAAAATAAATCTTTAAAAAAAAAAAACCAAATGACAAATGAAGGAATTTGCTAAATTAGCCATTAAATTGAAAACAATCATATTCAGAGAAAATATATATAATCTGATATTTCTCCAAGTATGTAAGCAGATTTACTTTTACTGAATATCTTTAACTTGTTTTTAAATTTTTTATTTTTTATTTCATTTGAAAGAAAGGAGACAGAGAAACAGACACAGAGATAATCCACCTGCTGATTCACTCTAATGCCAGGGCTGTCAGGGCTGAGCTAAACTGAAGGCAGTGGCCTAGAATTCAGCCAGGTCTCCTATGCAGCTGATGGAACTCAAATATTTGAGCCATAATCTGCTGCTTCCCAGGACGTACCTTAGCATAATGCTGGATCAGAAGCAGAGGGAGGACTTGAATCCAAGCACTCCCTGTATGGTGTGTGAGCTTTCCAAATGACATTGAATCACTACACAAAAAGCCCATGCCTTTATCCATTTTTCTCCACTAAATCTGCACATTATTAGCAAGATGGTATTACAAAGTTAATATGAAAGACTCCCCCTGTTCTCAAAGACCTTAGTAGAGGAAGGACACTAGCAAATATGAAACCTTAACAGAATGTGATCTACTCCACAATGAGTATACGTACAGAGGAGCGCATCCAGTCCTGCAGGAAAGACAGGTGTGGTGTTGGGAAGGAGAAAACTACAAGATGCACAGGCATTGGTCAGGTAACACAGGGAACAGGACAGTACGGCCAGCGAACACAAACAGCCTTCAGAGTCACCAATAATGCTTATACCACAAGAAGGCAATAAACATTCAATTTTAATTATGTTACCTTTTTTATTATTTTACAATATATTTCAAAAAATGACCTTACAGATGTTTTTATCTGCTCTATAAGACCTGGAATAAAAGAACATTTAGAATTAGAACACACAGACATCAAGCTGTAATACTCACTTGTACTGAACCATCACTACCAAAGGTTAAGTATTTTTTTTAAATAAGCAGATGTGCGGCTATGCAAAATAAAATACAAACTTGTTAAAACAGAACAGTAAACTTGACTTTAATGGCTATAGAAAGGAGGTGGCTTTGTTTTTTTTTCTTCAACACATCTGGTTCTGGCAGCAAGTTGCATTATACATTTAAAGCAGTGTGTGCCCTGAAAGCTCATAGCTTCTGTTTGTGCGTATAACTTGGATCAGAGACCAGACACATGGAAAAGCACTGTTCTCAACACGCTCAACATCTCTCCTTCCACGAGGTCACAATGCTAACAAACTCAAGACTTTCTTTGCTGATGGTACTTAATAATTATTTTACTCCAGTTAACACTGGATGCTTTAATATTCTCTAAAAGAGAAGTGATGAAAACATATAGAAACCCTCCAGGGTCCAATTTTCACTTCGCATTCCCCAAGTAGTAAAATAGCAGCTCTACATGTTATAAAAAAAAAACCAGAGAGAATTTAAATTTCTTATTAGTTTTTAACCATAGTAACTTTACAATGCTTTTAGATTTAGTTGAATTTCCAAAATGAAAATTTTAGTTGTCGAATATTTTAGGAATTTATTAAAGTATTACATACAATTGATTTCCTTTTAGGTAGCCCTCCCCCTCAAAAAAGTACATATGGTGTATGTGTGTGCATTTGCTTATCTTCCCTTAACTAAAGTTCTCTTTTTCTGGTTGGCCATGAGAAACCAGTTTAAGCAACCAATGCTTGCTTTTATTTCTATTATAAGCAATAATTCAGATCTTTTTTCACTAAATATGACTGTAGCATTTTCATAATAAAATGCACAAAAGGCAATACCAAAAAATGCCTTCTGAACAGGCTTCTGCCAGGCAACCCACGTAAGTCAGACTCTACCAAAGTGGCACTACGGCAATACAGGCATCCAGTTTCTTTTCTTTTTTTCAAATTTGTCAGTTATTTGTCACAATTATTTTGTCTAGTAGGAGACAATTTCATGGTGGACTTAACTCTTAAAAGTTGACATAAACCAAAACTGGACAGCAGTCAATTGGAATCACATTCCAATGGTCTCCAAAAATACCTGGCTAAAACACATCTTTTCTTCTCCTTGATTGATTTTGCATTAATTTTATTAAACGTATAGCAAATAACATTGCAAAGTTTTTCTCAGAGCTTTTTCTTAAGGGACTACTGTGTTCAAATAAATATATTTTCATCTGCAGTATGTCATCAGTAATGTCCTTTCTATAAACATGGTTGGCAAAATAAAAAAGGCACAAAAGGGGCTAAACACAAAAATGTTTTCAGTTTTCAGTGAAGAGTACAAAAGCACGGATCATTCATGAAAAGCAGAGGAAAACATTCAGTAATTCATGCACAATTTGAACTACAAAGATGCTTCTCTTCCAATAGGTCCTGAGACTTGAGGAGAAAATGGGTTTTCCTAATGTGCTTCATGTAAAATAAAATACAAAGCTACACAGACATGTTTGGTTTAGCAATGGACCCATGTTTTTAAAAAAAGTGAGGCAATGAAACAAAGGAAAGGCAAACCAAAACACCTTTGTGAACAAAGCAATTCCACCTGTCACCTCTGTCCTTTTTTTTTAATCACCCAATGGGGTAAAATGTCCAATAAAATGTAAAATGCAGCATACGCAATCATGTAATCTAAAAACTTTTTCATGATAACTTATTGCAAATTGCACTTGACAGTTCACCACAACACTGGAAAACTGGCCCCCAGTTGGTTCACACTGTCCTTGAGCCCCAAAGTGAAGTTGAAGTCACCAATAAAACGACCTGGATAAAAAGTTTGCAGCTGTGCTCAGCCAGCTAGCTCCACCCTCTGGGTGTGAGCCCACCCGGGACACGGCTTTGTCCTGCTCCTTGGTGGGGCTCTCATCCTCCGGCAGGTAATCAGGCAGCTCCGTGTTCTCTTCTACCTCCACAGGAGTATCCTGGAACGGGACCAGCATCTGCAACACAGAACAGGTTTGAGAGTTATCACAAAATCAAGATAAGGGTTAGGAGGTAAGGTCAGCTTGGCTCCGGATTCTAATCACCATGTTTATTCTCGGCCTCTGTTCCTTTGAGACTCCCTATTACATGACAGTAGTCGCCATTGCTGAGCACTGTCTAAACACAGAAAGGAAGAAAGACAAAGAACTCAGATGCTGAGCTGCTTAGACCTCTTAGAATCAATCAGTGATCAGTGACCTATGTCTACAAAAAGAAGACTAAATCTACTGTCTAGATGTGTGGCTCCCCAGAAAGCCCTGGCACCTTCCATGGATGAAGAACCACATGAATTCAAGGCATTCAGATTCATTTCTGCATTACAACAATAGTGCAAAAAGTAGCAACAGGCCAAGATTCTGACCACACTTTCTTCCCCAGTGGGCTGCACCTTGATTTATTTTTTAAATTTCTAGATTGGCAAAATGGCTAAGACAGGGATGAAAGTATTTAAACCATGTATTCAATGCAAAGGAATGAGGTATTCTTTATTTCCATAAAAAAAAATTAGCAAAATATCTCCACTGAGAGTTTTCATCATAAAAATAAGTTCTGAAATCTATAATTCATCTGTCCATATTTCTAAAGCAATTAACTGTAAAGTTGGCATGTACTTTTCTAGAAATACTCCCAATCGGCTAGCCATGAAAGACAGTCAAGAGTCCGAATCAGAACTAACTGTAACCTTTACCTCTTCTCCACTCTCACTTTTCACAACTTGCTGAGCTTTCATAACCTTGGTTGATGCTATTGCTGATGCCAAAGCCTGGAACAAGACAAAAGGATCAATGTTGAACACTGACTTGTTTATCTATAACCTTAGGTGTTTTCACCCATTTTATACTAACCTCTGCTTTCAAATCTGAACGGATTCGCACCACACATCTTTGAACAGCCATTTGAAAAGTAAAGCTAATAACGCCTTTAATTTTTAACAGAGCTTCTTCACATAGATTTCTCCGAGACTGAAAAACAGGAAATTATCAAGTAGGGTTTTATTGTATTAATAATAAAAGGGAATGTATCAACTCAAAACACTCTGAACTAGTTATTTATTATATTTTTGAGGGAAAGGATGCAGCTGAACCTATCTCAACATTATCATCTCATATTTCAGGGTATGGGGACAGTGCTGAATCACATTTATGAAATTTTACAGGAAGAACAACAAAATGGCAATTTCTGCTATACTTTTTAAAGTCAAATACTAATGTATTTTTCTAATTAATTCTTTAGATTTTTTTTTTGTGAATGAAAACAGAGAGAGATTTCCTACCTGTTATTCTATTCCCAAAGCGCCCCCAACATACAAGGCCAGGAGGGGCCCAAAAAAGCCAGAAACCAACCATTCAGCCATGTTTCCTACACAGGTGGCAGGGCCCCATGCATCTAAGCCATCACCTGTTCCCTCCCAGGGTCTGCACTGCACGAAGCAGGATGCAGGAGCACAGCTAGGGAATGACCCTGCGCACTCTGACACAGGGGTTTAGATGTTCTTAACCACTGTGTTAAATTATGTCTCTCCTATGTCATTTTAACATTTTTCTGAGAAATTACTCAACTTATATCCTAAACAAGACAGAATTAAAAGTGCAGGGGAAAAAATGCCAAAAAGCAGAAAAGACAATTCTCTAGCTGAAGTGTGAGCAAACTAGAGTCCATCAGCCATTTTCATAGATGAGCACTTACTGGAACATGCCAAATCCATTTGTTTCATACATCATGACATACGAGTTTCATGCTAAGGCAGAGAGTTCAACAGAGACCCACAACAACCTGAAAAGCCAAACATATTTATTCTCTGGCTCTACAAAGAAAAAGTTTACGGGGGCAGGCAATGTAGCGCATCCAGCTAAATTACCTCTTGCAATGCTGTCATTCCACAACTGCATCCTGTAACAGAACGCCCATTCAGAGTCCCAGATTCTTTACTTACATTTTTCTTTTGCCCTATGTACTTTAAAAATATTTATTTATCTGAAGGGCAAAGTTACAGAGAGGCAGAGAGAGATAAAATTTTCCACCCACTGATTCACTCGCCAGTGGACACAATGCAAAGAGCTGAGCCAGGCAGAGCCAGGAGCTTTGTTCATGTCTACATCATGGGTGCAGGGACCTAAGGACCTGGGCCATCTTCTGCCGCTTTCCCAGGCACATCAGTAAGGAGCTGCATTGAAAGTGAATCTGCCAGAACTTGCACCAGTGCCTCCATTGGATGCTGGTGCTGCCGGTGGGAACTTCAGCTGCCACACCACAGTGCCAGTCTCCAGATGCTCCCTCAGACCCCTGGGAAAGCAGTCAAAGATGGCTCAAGTCAGGAGCTCCTGACATCCACATGTGAGACCCATATGCAGTTAAAACTTCTGGCACCAGTCTGGCCCAGTCCTGCTTGCTGTATTCCAGTTGCAGAGTGAATCAGTGGATGGAAGATATCTCTCTGACACTCTAAACTTTCAAATTAGTAATTTCTAAAATTTAAATAAAAAGGGACCTAGCAGGGTAGCCTACCGGCTCAAGTTCTCACAATGTACACACCAGGATCCCATATGGACACTAGTTCTAATTCTGGCACCCTGCTTCCCATTCAGCTCCCTGGTTGTGGCCTGGGAAAGCATTCGAGGATGACCCAAAGCGTTGGAAACCTGCATGCATGTGGGATACCCAGTAGAGGCTCCAGGCTCCTGGCTTCGGATTGACTCAGCTCTAGCCATTGTGGCCACTTGGGGAGTAAATCATCGGACAGAAGATCTTCTCTGTCTCTCCTCCTCCCTGTATATCTGCCTTTCCAATAAGAAATAAATAAATAAATAAATAAATCGTTTAAAATATAAAATAAAAAAGTTCAATTCTGGAACCATACTACCTAGATTCAAATTCTGGCTCATCCTTTCATTTTCTCCACTATGTGGCTGGGATGCATTATTTAACCATTGTAAAACTCAATTTCCCATTCTACAAAAGTAAGACAATGACATACCTCTTAGTGTTGATTATCAAATCAGATAATCAATGGAATATACTTATCTTTAGTGCCAGCTTATGCCATCGAAAATGTTGACCAACAAGACAGTACAGTGCAAGAATTAACTTGCTAGTATTCTTTTTGTGTTTTAGCAATCACATTATTCCTGTATACTGGCCTATATTTTTATGAGTGCTTAATCGAATCTCATTATTTGGTTTCTGCTATGTTTATAAAGCAACTATATTCTCAGTCACTAAAGTTAGATGATACTAGAGATATTTAAATATCTTATTATCCTGATCAACCAATTTATATTTATCACAACATGCTTCCTAAAAAATTCACATGATCCAAGTTCCAGGTTCAATAAGACAGCTGTTAACTTCCTTGGCTCTGTCACAGATAATACGCATAAGGAAGGCTTCTTCTCACACTTAAAAGTGTACTTCAAAAAGTCAGTGGAAATGGGACTAAAAACTAAGATTTGATGCAAAAAAAATTTTTAATTAATGCGTAATTTTTACTGTGGTATGCACTTTCTATAAACTTATTATACAGACCCCTTCTTAACATATAAAACCCTAAATCCTAAGGCCTCTGCATCAAAACACTACAACCAAAAGCTGTGGATGACCATTTTAACAGATCTAGCCCGGGTAAAGGGATATGTGACTTTCTGACAACTGCCACTGCTAAATAACTTATCATTGCGCAAAATAACTTCAGGACTTCCAATTTCAGTCAACATGAAGTACCAAAAACCACAGTTACCCTCCAGCATTAACTAACTAAATATACTAACTAAATATAGCAGGAGCTGTTATGTCGGAGTTAAGACCCAGCACGTTAGACCATGGTTACTCCATTTCCAATCCTACTACCTAGGATTTTCCCAGTCCTGTGGCCTGGGAAAGCAGTCGAGGACAGACAAAAGCCTTGGAACCCTGCACCCACGTGAGACCTGGAAAAAGCTCCTGGCTTCTGGCTTCAGACTGGCTCAGTTCTGACTATTGCGGTCACTTGGGGAGTGAACCAGTGGACAGCTCTCTCCTCTCTGTAAATCTGACTTATAATAAAAAAAATCTTAAAAAAAGATACATGCTAATCAAAAGAAACCTAAAGTGATATTATATATATAAAACAAAGACAATACAAGGTTCAATGCAGTACTCTCCCGGCTCAAGTCCTTGCCTTGCATCTGGCAGGATCCTATATGGCCACTGATTCTAATCCCAGCTGCTCCAGTTCCCTTCCAGCTCCCTCCTTATAGCCTGGGAAAACAGCAGAAGTCTTGGGAACCTGTACCCACAAGGGACGGTTGGGGAGGCTCCTGGCTCAAGGCTTCAAATAGGATCAGCTCCGCCATTGCGGCAACTTAAAGAGTGAAGACCAGCGGCCAGAAGATCTTTATCTCTCCTTCTCTCTTTCCAATAAAAAAAAAATCTTTAAAAAAAACATAGGCACTATAGAATAAATTCAATAGGAATCAGATATTATATAAAATTACTATCATATTTTATACTATTTATACCAGTACAGTCATCTGGCACTTAACTTGGCTTTTAACTACAAATTCAATTTCTTTAACAGATACAGAGCTACTCTGATCATCTCTCTGATAATCTCCATCGTTCAAAAATTTTCCCTACTTTATCATTATCAACCTCATTGCGACAGTTATTTAAAATGTTCATTTTTAGTCCTTTTAATATTAAAGTCTGTAAAATCTACAATAATGTCCTCTCACATCTGACATCAATACTGTTTTGCACGTCTGATATCTATTTTTGCTTTTGCTCTTCTGCTTGCTTTCACTTTAATTTGCTCTTCTTTCCTAGTTTCTTAGAGTGGAAGCTTAAATCGCTGATTTGATTCTTTTCATCTTTTGCAAATATTTAAACATTTGGCGCTAATAAATTTGCACACTACAGTGTGTCAGGTGCTTCACACAAATTTTGGTGTTATACTTTCACAATTAATCAGTTCACAGTGCTTTCTAATTTTTCGTCTGATTTATTCACTAACTCATATGGACTATTTTAAAAAATTAAGTTGTTAGATTTTGAGAGATTCTTCCAGGCTACTCTTCTGTTACTAATTCCTAGTTTTCCTTCATTATGCTCAGAGAAACTATGGTTTTAATCATTATAAACTTATTCAGTCTTTTTTTTTTTAAGATTTTATCTATTTTATTGAAGAGACAGATCTAAAGAGAGAGAAATAAAAAAAAAGAAAGATCTTCCAACCACTGGTTTGCTCACCAACTGGCCGCAACGGCTACAGCTAAGCCGATCTGAACCCAGGAGTTTCTTCCAGGTCTCCCGTGTGCGTGCAAGGTCCCAAGGCTTTGGGCTGTCCTCTACTGCATTCACAGGGCACAAACAGGGAACTGGAAGGGAAGTGGAGCAGCCAGGACACAAACTGGCGCTCAGTTGGGATCCTGGCAGATGCAAGGTGAGGACTGGGCCACCAGGCTGTCGTGCCAGGTCCAAACTAATTCAGTCTTATTTTACGGCTCACACAATTATCTAGCTTAGTGAATACTCCACACACATGAAAAGAGTATTACTATCAGATTAAGTCGACTGATAGTATTATTCAAGTATTTAATATCCTTACTGATTTTCCATATGTTTCTTGTATTAATTCAGAGTGCTGTTCTGAATTATGGATTTAACTCTAATTATGGATTTCTCTATTTCTCCCTGAATTTCTGTCAACTTCTGCTACATATATTCGGAGGCTCTATTATTACGGGTCTACATACTTGAAATTGTTACGTCTTCTGAGTAAATGACTCCTTTGGCTTAAAGTGAGTACAAATACTCTTACAGTTAGCAGGTGACACTGCAGAAACAAGTTGACATGATTTCTCTAGTTTCTCTTATGTATAACATGTTTGGAGAACTCTCACCGTGTCATCAAGACCATCTATATGCAAAACCACTGTTTTGGCACGTTTGTTTGTAGTTCCCAGAAAAAACTGAGCTTTCCTTCGACGTGAATTCATTTCATTGAAGCTATCACCATCTGCCATATTAGAGGACTGAAGAATGTCATAGATTTCAGAGGCCAGAAGTTTTGTTTCTCCTGGAGTTGTAGTTCTGAAAAAGCAAGACATACAAATAGATAAATTAGTGTTGTCATTTCTACTCATCCTGTAATTTTATTTCTCAACTTTAAGAAGCCTTATTTTCTTCACCTTAAAAGTAATACAAATTAAACCTAGAATAACCAATAATGTTTTTTTAAAAAAAGGATCTTGTATATCACAGCCCTCTAATTCCACTGAGATCTCAAACCAATCACTACAGTGACATAAAAAAAAAATGTACTAGAAATCATTAATTAAATAGGAAACGAACAAGATCACGCTATAACATGTCCTTGAATTATCACTAACATAGACCCTCAAACAGAAAGTACCCTGATCCTCCAAAAGACACAATATATAAAAATCCAAAAGGAGAAAATAAATTGGGATAAGAAACTTTTAGTGCATTCTTTCCTTAATTTGTATTTTCATATCTTTTATAAAACATATAAACATGTAAACTCAACAAGCTAACTCTCCACCTTCAAAGCACTGGCAGATTTATGTCCCAACTGCTCCACTTCAGGTCCAGCTCCCTGCTTATGACTTGGGAGAGCAGCAGAGGATGGCCCAAGTCCTTGGGATCCTCTACCAACATGGAAGACTCAGAAGAAACTCTAGGCTTTAGATCGGCTCAGTTTAGCTCCAACCACTGTAGCCATTTGGGGAGAGAACCAGTAAATTAAGTTCTTTCCCTGTTTCTCCTTCTCTCTGTAAATCTGCATTTCACGTACAAATAAAAATGCTTCAAAAAATGGGACATACTTTAAATATACAGATATAGAGATAGAGATATAAATCAAGAATGAGTAGTAGTACCTGTATGTACCTAGACAAAAAAAAAAAAAAAACTGAGGTAAAATGTTAAAATTTGGAGAACACCATATGCTGGAATTCTGTCTGTTGTCTTTCAAAGTTTTCTGTAGGTCAGACATTATTTCCAAACAGAGCTTTTAAAAAAAACTAAGAAAAAACATAAAGAAATGATGTGTATGTTTTCATCTACAAAGACTTCCGAAAGGACACACCACCATTTATTAAAGCTTAATAACTGTTTTAAAATCAAGATCTTTGCCTGCAATGCCAACACCCCACAGGTGTGTCAGTTTGAGTCCCAGCTGTTCCACTTCTGATCTTCCTAATGACCTGAGAAATCAGCAGAAGATGGCCCAAATGCGGGATACCCAGAAGAAACTCCTAGTTTCCAACTTTGGCCTAATTTAGGCCTAGCTATTACAGCTATCTGGGCAGTGAACCAATGAATGGAAGATCTCTCTGACGTTCTTCTTTCTCCCTGTAACACTTTCAAATGGATAAATCTTATAAAAAGAGACAGAAAAAAAAAAAAAACAGAGAGAAGATAGAGAGAAAGGGGAAGAGACAGGGAAAAGAGACAAATGGAGGGAGAGAAAAACTTTAGGGGCTGGCCCTCTGCCTTTCAGCACCAGGATCCCATATAGGCTGTGGTCCCAGTCCTAGCTGATCTACTTCCCAGCCAGCTCCCTGCTTATGGTCCAGGAAGGCAGCAGAAGATGCTCCAAAGCCTTGGGACTCTGCAACCACAGGGGAAACCCAGAGGAAGCTCCAGACTTCTGGCTTCAGATCAGATGAGCTGTTCTTACAACCATTTGAGGAATGAATCAAAGAACAGAAGGTTTCTCTCTGTATTTTCTGTCTCTCCTCTCTAAATTTAAAAATTTGCCTTTAAAATAATAAATAAATAAATAAATAAATCTTTCCGAAAAAAAGAACTTGAAAGAGCAGGCATTTGGCACAGTAGTTAAGACACTGCTGGGCCCGGCAAGGTAGCATAGTGGTTAAAGTCCTTGCCTTGTACACGCTGGGATCCCATATGGGCACCGGTTCTAATCCTGGCAGCCCTGCTTCCCGTCCAGCTCTCTGTTTGTGGCCTGGGAAAACAGTCGAGGACAGCCTAAAGCTTTGGGACCCTGCACTTGTGTAGGAGACCCAGAAGAAGCTCTTGGCTCCTGGCTCCTGGCTTCGGATTGGCTCAGCTCCAGCTGTTGCGGCTGCTTGTGGACCCTCAGATGGAAGATCTTCCTCTCTGTCTCTCCTCCTCTCTGTATATCTGCCTTTCCAATAAAAATAAATAAATCTTAAAAAAAAAAAAGGCACTGTTAGGGCTGTCCACAGTCCTTACCAGAATGCCTGTCTCTGCCTCAGATCCAGCTGATAGGAATATCAGGGGAAACCCGTGCAGACAGCAGCTAAGAGTCCATGTACTCAGAGGCCCGCCACTCATATGAGAAACCCAGCTTGAATTCCAGGCTCCTGGCTTCAGCAAGGACTAGCCCCAGCTGCTGGGGGCCGTTGAGGAGTGAGCCAGAAGATTAACATCTTTCTATCATTCAAATAACAATAAAATTTAAAAACTTTTAAAAACCAGAACCTTAGCAGATCCTCAGATGAAATTAAATATTTCAAAGTTGAGATCACATACTTTACTCAAATGGTTTTCTATAGTGTAACCTGGTTAGATATCCATAAATGGTTTAGGAAGTACAGCTTGGGGCAGATACTGGGCACTTGAGAGACCTCCAGTCCTTATCCTGGATTCAATTTCTGGCTCAGCTCCCAGTTCTGGTCTCCCAGCAGGCAGCAGGTGATGGCTCAAGTAGTTGGGTCCCCGTAATCCAAACTGGACTGGGTTTCAGGCTCCGAACTCAGCCCTGACTGTTGCAGGTATTTAGGGGAATAGACCACTAGATAGAAGATCTGTATTACCTCCAATAAATATAAGGGAACTTTAAAAAGAGAGAGAAATTCAGGGCCCGGCGCGGTGGCGCAAGTGGTTAAAGGTCCTCGCCTCGCACGCCCGGGATCCCATATGGGCGCCGGTTCTAATCCCGGCAGCCCCGCTTCCCTTCCAGCTCCCTGCCTGTGGCCTGGGAAAGCAGTCGAGGACGGCCCAAAGCTTTGGGACCCTGCACCCGCGTGGGAGACCCGGAAGAGGCTCCTGGCTTCGGATCGGCATAGTATCGGCCCGTTGCGCTCACTTGGGGAGTGAATCATCGGACAGAAGATCTTCCTCTCTGTCTCTCCTCTCTGTATATCCGCCTTTCCAATGAAAAAATAATAAAAAATAAATCTTTAAAAAAAAAAAAAAAAAAAAAAGAGAGAGAAATTCAAATATCAATTAACAAAGATCTTAAACTGGATCTAAAGTTATAAGCTACCATCTTAAAAATTCTTTTTCAGAAAGGGATCTAAGACTAAAAATATAATATAAAAGGTTATATCCTTTAATAGGACGCTTTATTTATAGAAGAGACTAAAATTGGAGTATCATATCAGAGTCATTCTGAGTGACAGAGAAGTGAAATTCTTTTCACAGTTACGAACTAAAGTAACAACTGATTTGAAAGCAACCTAATTGTCAATCTCTAAGCACCAATTTGACCTTAAGCAAAAACTATTGAACGCCTGTCAAAATTTCAGCAAAATTCTCTAGCAAAATATGTGATGGCAAATAAGCAACAAAAATTTAACACGCAGAATTTTCTCTAAATGACATTCTCTTCTGGTTGCCAAGGGAAGGAAAAAACATTTCTCTTCCCACTCCTGTGTTTGGTTTCGTCACTGAACACTGCCAGATGTAAGGCTCTTCAGTTAATAAGGTAACATCCTTTCACAGATTTTCTTTTTTTTTTTTAAAGACTTATTTATTTTTATTACAAAGTCACATACACAGTGAGGAGGAGAGGCAGAGAGGAAGATCTTCCGTCCGATGATTCACTCTCCAAGTGACCATGGCCGGTGCTGCGCCGATCCGAAGCCGGGTACCAGGAACTTCTTTCCAGGTCTCCCATGCGGGTGCAGGGTCTCAATGCAGTGGGCCATCCTCGACTGCTTTCCCAGGCCACAAGCAGGGAGCTAGATGGGAAGTGGAGCTGCCAGGATTAGAACTGGTGCCCATATGGGATCCTGGGGCGTTCAAGGTGAGGACTTTAGCCACTAGACCACGCCGCCAGGCCCTCACAGATTTTCTTTATTCTCAAGTCTTTCTGAAATGTAAAAATATTCTTCTGGTATTTCCTCAGTGGCCTGGTTTTCAGTTAACTCAGTACTTGGAAACAGAGAGAGGCTGCTCTGATCTGAAAGTTTGTTTCTAATTGCATGCTGACTGCCTGCTATCATTGAATAGTGGCAACAGAGGAAGCAAGTATAGCATCTAATATCCATCTCTCAAGATATTGTTTGCCGAGGTGATTATACATGAAAGGGATACTAATTAATTCCTAAATCTGTCCACTCGGAACTGTGAACAATCAGTCTGAATCTGCTAATAAGGACACCAAAATGCAACCTAACGTCTAAAGAACACAGCCACTATGCACTGTAAACAGACGAAAATCTGGCCATTTCTGCTCGGCACAGGACTAGCCTAAAAATTAATCCTTGGGCCTGGCGCCGTGGCCTAGTGGCTAAAAGTCCTTGCCTTGAACGCCCCGGGATCCCATATGGGCACCGGTTCTAATCCCGACAGCTCCACTTCCCATCCAGCTCCCTGCTTGTGGCCTGGGAAAGCAGTTGAAGACGGCCCAAGGCTTTGGGACCCTGCAGCCATATGGGAGACCTGGAAGAAGTTCCTGGATCCTGGCTTTGGACCGGCATAGCATCAGCTGTTGCAGTCACTTGGGGAGTGAATCATCAGAGGGAAGAGCTTCCTCTCTGTCTCTCCTCCTCTCTGTATATCTGACCAATAAAATAAATCTTAAAATAAATAAATAAATAAATAAATAATCCTTGAGGTCTCCTGTGATGCCTCAATTGTCTAATCCTCTTCTTGCAAGCGTCAGGATCCCATATGGGCACCAGTTCATGCCCTGGGTGCTCCTATCCAGCTCCCTGCTTACAGCCTGGGAAGGCAGTGGAGGATGGATGAAGTCCTTGGATCATACACAACCATGGGAGATCCCAAGGAAGCTCTGGAGTCAGGAGCTTCAGCTCAGCTGAGCTCTGGCTCAGCTCCAGCTGCTGTGGTCATTT